GTCGGCTGCAGCACCAATGGGAATTCATCAGTTCGGTCTGGAGGTGCAGAGTTTGCCTCCTAGGGTCTCTCTCTAAGTGCCAGCCTGAGCCTGGGGGGTGCAGGGGCCACTCCAGGCTTGATTCAGCTGTGCTGGACAGGTTGGGGCACAAAGTCATCGCGCTGGCCTGCTCCGATAATTCATTTTTGTTCACCTGCCTGCATTGCAGGAGTTGCAGCTCAGGGGCCCAGGTCGAGAAGCTGGGTCAGGTGTGTCAGCCGCCGACGGTCACAGGTCACAAGAACTGGAGAAAGATCCAAAAGGGCAGCCATCCCGACAAACCACACGTTGTGGTGGAGACTGGCTACTCGTTACCTGTCTCGGCGTCGCTCGGTCGGCTCGTCTCTTCCTCTCCCCCTCGTGAGCCTCCCCTCCCTCTCCCTCCCGCCCTCGACCCCCCCTCAGGGGCGAGGTCAGGTCAGGTCCCAGCCGCTGGAGGCCGGCCTGTGCAGCGCGCCCCGCCAGGCGGGGCCCTCGCTGCTTCGGAGGAGTGGGTGGAGGAGGATGAGGCTGCGCGTTTTATTTTTTCGGGGTCCTCCAGGAGTGATGCGCTTCAGGAGGTCAGAAAGGGACTCGCTCGCGAAGATGACGAGGCCCCTCTGATTGGTGTCCCGTCTCGGTTTTCGAGCGATTCGGACTGAGGCCCCGTTTAAACCTGCCAGGGGTGTCTCGCTCTGTCAGGTTCAGACCATTCCTGAGGCATTGCCGTGGACGGCAAAAAAAGAGGAGGAGGAGGAGGAGGAGGAGGGGGAGGACGAGGAGGAGGAGGAGGGCCCGGGGAAGGAGGAGGAGGGCCTGGGGAAGGAGGAGGAGGAGGAGGAGGAGGAGGAGGAGGAGGAGAAGGAGGAGGAGGAGGAGGAGGAGGAAAAAGACCCCCTCCGCCTCCAACTTCTGGTGGTGGTGGTGGTGGAAAACAAGCCCATCACACCGCGATTGGCCCCCCCCCCTCCAGCTGTGGACTCCCCTCTCCGCCCGCGGAAGAAGGGCGAGGGGCCCACTGGCAGGCGCGCGGGGCTCCCGCCGTGGCGGCGCCCGCCGGACAGCGGGGGCCAACACGGCCCCCAGAGCACGCCAATAGGATTCCGCGGCCGGGCTCCCGTCCCGAAGGTTCGCCGACGCTGCTGGATGCCTGGAGGTTCAGGGCCAATGGTCGATGCCTCCTGGGCAATTAGATGGTCACTGTCTGGGGCCCACGTTTGCAAACGCCTTCTGAAGTGGGCCAGGAGGACGAGGAACGCGGACATCCACAGACCTCCAGCGCGCGGTGGGGCCCCGACGCTGCTGGCGCTCGCCTTCTCCTCGTGCGTGCACGCGGGGGCGACGAGGGCTCCGACCTCGCTGGCGCCAGGAGAGCGCTCTCCTCGGATCTGCCGCGGCGTGGCGTCGAGGGCGCAGGCCCGAAGGCCACCCTCAGCGCCCAACCATTGTTCAAATCGGCCGAACGCCTGAGCCCTAATGGCCACAAGCGTCGGGCAACGGAAGAGGATACACAATCGCGTTGACACACGCGTTTGCACCCTCCTAATCATAACGGCTGTGGAGAACTGGGGCTACATCGCTGAACTGTGTGTCCGCCGAAAACCCCTTTTCAAAAACCTGTGCAATTCTTACATATGGTCAACCTTCGCGTCACTACTCTAAGGGAGTCGCAAGCAATAAACACGTTTGAACATGAACCGCGGCGCTACGGCGAACGCCACATTTCGAAAACCACCCCCGCTCCATCATTGTACCTGTTTGGAACTTTTGAAGTAAACAAGCGCGATTATGAGGCGATATTTCCACTTTGAAGAGGGATCACCATCCATCCTTGTCGCCGTTGGAAGCTTTTAACAGCAATGTACGTGGCGCTGTGACAGATCCCCATTTTGAGCATGAGCCGCCCTGCATCCAGGTAACTGTTGCAAGCTGTTCGAAGTCAATGTGTGCGGCACTAAGACGAGATCCTCATTTTAAAAGCCACTCGCGCTCCATAACTGAAGCTGTGGCACATGTCATGCTGCAGGATCATGAAGGGAGCTTAAGGCGAAACGCCTGGCCCACCCCACAGACACGTTCGAGGGTACGACAGGGAGGGGCTTTCTGTACATGGAAATGATGGTGTAAGAGGACGATGAGGAGGAGGAGGAGGAGGAGGAGGAGGAGGAGGAGGAGGAGGAGGAGGGGGAGGACAACAACGAGAGGGATGGGGACGACGGGGAGGTGTCGGGGGGATGGGACGATGGGGGGATGAAAGGGGGAGGGTGGTAAGAACGTAAGAACGATGGACACAAGGATGGGGAGAAGGAGGAAGACTGGCAATAACGAGAACGCGAGGAGGGGAAACGGAGAAGCGACGAGGAAAAAGACCACAACACCGGCATGAACATACCCTTCTTTCGGGAATCCGTGCGCCCCCCAAGGGGGCCCCAGTGCCGCTTCAAGACATCCTCGCGGACTCCTCACACAATGAGTGTACTTTTCAGGGTCGGCCAATAAGGGGGGGCGCAAATCATGGTCAGCGGCATGTGCACTGCCCAGGGGGGATCAAAGACGTAATGAAATGAGACGAGGCGCCATGACATAATATCATGGCCCACGCCATGATATCCACCTCTCCGTCATCACCCCCCTCTTGGCCGCCCCCGAACTTTGGGATCTGGATGCGGTTCCCGGGTTTTCGGCTGCTGCCCCGTTGGTGGGCGCCTCGTGGGCGCCCCGCGCTCGGGTGGGTTCCCCGAGGTTTCGCACGGTGCCCGCCTTGGGGCGCCTCGTGGGCGCCCGGCGCTTGGGCCGGTTTCCCAAAGTTTCGCCTGGTGCTCGCCCGTGGGCGCCGCGTACGCCACATAGCTTGCACCATATTGCTTCCAACGCAAAACTCACACCATATAGCTCACACCACATAGCTCACACGGCATAGCTTACACCACATCGCGTACATCATAGCTAGCACCACGTAGCTCACACCACACATCTTACACAAACGTAGCTTACATCATACACCACAACATAGCCCTCACCACATAGCTCCCACCACACAGCGTACACACCATCGCTTGCGCGGCATGGCTAACTCAACATAGCTTGCTTCGCATAGCTCACAGCGCAAAGCTTACACACCATCGCTTGCACCACATAGTTTGCACAAAAACCTTCCACCTCCGCAGTGCAATAACTCATTGTTTGGAGTCCACGCTGACTAACACTTGCCTATGCCACTTCTTCTTCTTCCTCGAGAAGAGGAGGGCCAGGCAGAAGAGGACCAGCAGCAGCAGGAACGAGCGCACAGGGAGGGGCACAGGGCACAGACCAGGCCAGAAGGCGAGGGAGAGGCGAGGCAGAAGGGCGAGGGAGAGGAAGAGCGGAGAGGTGAGGAAAGGTAGAGGGACGGGAGGGAGCCCCTGGACGTGGGGGGCGATGGGGCAGGACGAGCGGGCAGCGGGGGCGCGGCGCCTCACGCGCGCGCGCCCGCGCCCGCGCACGGCGCGGCGCGGACGCGCCGAGCGGCCGCCCGCAGAGGCGGCGCCCGGTCAGCGCGCGCCCTGCAGCCGGAAGGACTGGAAGGATGTCAGGCTCGACGGCACCGCCCTCTGGCTCGCCAAGACCGGCGGCGCCGGCACCCCCTGGAGGGGGGCGGAGGTGCAAAGTTCCCCCCGGGGCCGTAGGCGACCCGAGGAGGGGAGGGCGAGGAGGGGAGAAGAAGGAGGAGGAGGTGGAGGGAGGAGGAGGGCCCGGTAGGTTGAGGAGAGTAGAGAAGAGGAGGAGAAGGAGAGGAGGAGGAGGATGGAGGAGTAGGGAGAAGAGGGGGCTCGGGAGGAGAAGGAGGAGGGCCGGAGAGGTAGAAGGAGCTAGGGACGGGAGAGGACAGGTTCGCCAAGCCCTGATGGAAGAAACCCTCTAAACCCCCTGTAGGGGGGGAGACGTCCCTCCTCCTCCCCTCCTCCTCCTCCTCCCTCTCTTCCCTCTCCTCCTCCTCCTCCTCCTCCTCCTCCTCCACCTCCTGCTCACCACCACCACCACCACCACACCGTCTGGGAGCCTCCTTCTTACTGGATGCCTCCCAGATGGGGTCATGATCGCGCCGCATCGCCGATGTATGGGCGACGTCGGCGTGGAGGAAATCGGGCTCCGCATCGAGCCACGTCGCCGATGTATAGGCGACGCAGCACGATCCTCCGACCTCATCTGCTCGGACACATGTGGGGGGGTCTACAGTCGAGTTCGATAGGAGAGGGTACGCGAGAGGACACGACACCCTTCCGTGGGCCACGTTGCTATAATAACTGAGAAGGCATGGGTTGCACAACACAGGGCACACGGGGACTCTTGACTTTGGCAGGGTCGACCTGCAGCCCGCCTGCAGGCGCCTTGCAAGTGGGCCCGAGTCCATCTTGCAACTGTTGCAGCTGCTGCAAGTCGAAGCGACCACTCCAGTGTATCGGCTACACGTATGAATTTGACCCAAGACAAGAGTCACCTCTGGTGCTCGACTTTCGGGGGCCTCGGGGAGGCCGAACCAGGGCGCGCAAGCCGCTGCTGCCGCATCGCATCGAGCCACCCGGGGGCCCCAGTGTGCCCGCACCAAAGGTCCCGAACAGATGTCTCGCTGCTCCCACCACCCCCCCGCTGGGGAAACGACAAGGTACTGATGCCGCTACTCCTAGGATCTCTCCCGCGGTGCGTTCTGATCAGGGTTTCGAGGCGAATCACACGGTGGCGACGAGGGCCTCCCAGGAGGCCCCGAAAAGGGGAAAACAAGGGGTGGGTAGAGATATTGGTACCTTTTCCTCCTCTGACCCGCCCCCGACTACCTAATCCAATCCGAAGACCCGAATTTCGCCTGAATTTCGGGTTTGGGGGGGAACGGGTTCCATGTGCTTGTTCAGTGTTCCCCAACCCCCCCCACTGGCAATGGAGGGCACATTGAGGCCTTCGGGTTGGGTTGGGGTGGTTAACATTTGGTGGGTGGTGAGCCCCCGCACCGCGGCCCGCGGCGCCCCGCAGCCCGCGGGCGGCACTGGCAGCGCCGCGCCGAAGCCCGGGCTGCCGCGCCGAAGCCCGGGCTGCAGGCCCGCGGGGCCGCGCCGCCAGGGAACGCCGTGGCGCCCGCACCCCTGGGGCTGGCCGGCCACGGTGCGCCGGCCGCCCCGCCGCCAGGCGCGAGGCGCAGCGTGGGCGGCGCCGCGCCGCAGGCGCAGCCGGGCGCCGCCGGCCCTGGCTGCGCAGCGCAGGCGGGGCGACGAGGCGCCGGGCTGCCCCCGAGGGCAGCGTGCCGGCCCGGAAGGCGGCCGGCGCTCGGCGCCCGCGAGGGCGGCGGCGTCGGGAGGTGCGGGCCGGCGGCGGCCCGCGGCGGCGCGGGCCCCGCGGGGCGGCAGGCGCCGACGGCGGGGCGCGGCGAAGAGGAGCGGCCACGGGCGCTCGGGGGCGGGGCGGGCGTGAGGGTGCCGAAGCTGAGCTCGGGGTGGGAGCCCGCCGCGGGTGGGGTAAAGGCGGGGGAGGCGGCGCTCTGAGGCGTGGACCAGCCGCTGGGCGCGAAGGGCACCGGGCGGGGGGGCGAAGCGGCCCCCGGGGGCGTGGACCAGCCGCTTGGCGCGAAGGCCGCCTGGCAGGGGAGGGGAAGAGGCGGGCGGGCTCACTGATCAGGCCTGCTGCCTCTTCCTCCTCCTCCTCCTCCTCCTCCTCCTCCTCCTCCTCCTCCTCGTCTTTGTCTCTCCTTTTCCTCCCCATCCGCTATCCCCCTCCTCCTCCTCCTCCTCCTCCTCCTTTTCCCTTCGCCCTCCTTCTCTTTCGCGTACCCTTCGTTTCACCTTATCCCTCCTTCCACTCCGTAGCCCGATTATTTATGTTGTGATACTATCTCTGAGTAGTCGATCCCGCTCCAATCGCTGTCGCCCCGAGAACGGCTCCACGCGGAAGTCCCGCCCCATTCAACGAAAAACAATGACAATTAGTTGGTGATCATTTCGAACAGGTATTTCTGTCGTGGACGTTGCAAAATGCGTGGCGTGAGTGGAACTCGGCGGGCATCGAGCGCGAGAAGGCAGTCTGCCGCTGTCGCCTCAGCGCCGCGAACATGTTTGTTCAAACTTGCACTCCCGATTGGGCACGGCACATTCTCTTTCTCCGAAGTTGCGCCCCCCCCACTCCCTCGTCCCCCCTGCCCCTCCTCCTCCTCCTTCTCCTGCCCCTGCTCCTTCTCCTCCTCCTCTCCTCTTCCCCCCACTTCCCCCTCCTACCTCTCCTCCTCCTCCTCCTCCTCCTCCTCCTCCATCCTCCTCCTCCTCCTCCTCCGCCTCTCCCTCTCCCCGCCTCCGCCTACCGCCCGCCTCCCCCTCCCCCCTCCCCCTCACCTCCCCCTCCCCCCCCTCCCCCCTCCCCCTCCCCCTCCCCCCCCCCTCCCCCTCCCCCCCCCTCCCCCTCCCCCTCCCCCCTCACCCTCCCCCTCCCCCCCCTCCCCCTCCCCCTCCCCCTCCCCTCCCCCTCCCCCTCCCCCCTCCCCCTCCCCCTCCCCTCCCCCTCCCCCTCCCCCTCCCCTCCCCCATCCCCCCCCCTCCCCCTCCCCCTCCCCCCCCCTCCCCCTCCCCTCCCCTCCTCCTCCTCCTCCTCCTCCTCCTCCTCCTCCTCCTCTCCTCCTCCTCCTCTCCTCCTCCTCCTCCTCCCCTCTCCCCCCTGCTTCCCCTTCTCCTCCGTCCCCGCTCCCCCTCCCCCTGCTCCCCCCCCCTCCGCCTCCTCCCTCGTCTTGCGCTGTGCAGACATCGGCGGTTGCCTCCTCGTCCGCTTCTCTCTCCACTTCCTCCTCCTTCTCCGCCTCCCTCCCTCCCCCCTCCCCCTCCTCCACCCCTCCCCCTCCTCTCCTACCCGTTATCATCCTTCTTCTCCTTCTCCTCCTCTCCTCCTCCTCCTCCTCCTCCTCCTCTCCCTCTTCCTCCTCATCCTTCTCCTCCTCTTCCTCCTCCTCCTCTTCCATTTCCACAATTGGCCACAATCAAACTATGAATATCACTCTCCTTCCTCCCCTGAATTTGTTTGCAAGATCGCCCGCCCCATCCGTGTGGTGTTTTTCTACACACTTGATGTCAAGCATTGTTTGTTCTTGCTTATTGTTTAGAATCCGATTCTTCTCGGTGTTTCAAAACCGTGCTCCCGCTGCAACGTGGGCATCGTTTTCGGATCCGCGTTGTGCTCTCGTCGGTCAGAATGGCGCTCAAGCCCCAGCGTAAGTCACTTTTCTGGATCCGAGTCTTGCTTTATTGTGGTCCCGCCCCCCCTTCATTTCCCTTCCTCCGCCTTCCCCTGGTCCTCCTGTTCCTTCCGCTCCTTCCACTCCGATTCTTGCTGCTGCTGCTGCTGCTGCCGCTGTTTGTCTCGCGCTGGCGCGGGCCGTTTTGCTGAATCCCAATCTTTCCTCATCGTCGTCGCCCCCCTCATTTCCACTCCTCCGCCTTCCCCTGGTCGTCCTTTTCCTCCCAATCCTTCCGCTTTAGTTCCTGCTGCTGCTGTTCGTCCTCATCTTTTTCCTCCCGCTAGATCCTCCTGCACTTCCGCCACCTCCTCCTCCTTCCCCTCCTGTGCACGTAGCTGCCCCTTTTCCGATTGCGCATAACACGAAATGGTCTTTCTGTGGGAATCGCAAGTCGGCTATGACACGCGTCCGCGGAGAATGATGAATCAGCGCCATGGGAAGGGATGGGAGGGAGGATCGGATGCCAGATGAAGCGCGAGTCCACCTAGCTCCTCCTCCCCCCCTCTCCCTCGCAGCGCCCCCCAGCCCGCCGACGCGGGCGAGGCGGCGCCGTGCCGCTCCTGCCAGCCTGGCCCGAAGAGCGGCGTCCCGTTGCCCGCGCTGGGCACCGGCGAGCTCGGCTCGACGGGGAGGCGCGCCTTCAGGCATGCGCCCGCGGGGGGATGGAGGGAGGGAGGGCGGAACAGTAGATGAGCAGCACATGTGTGTGTGTGATCTCTCTCTATGTATATATATACACAAATATGTGTATTGATCAATCTATGTGCACTCGCACGCGCAATTCTCTAGACGAAATATCGGCGGAGCCTGTCGCACTAATGCGAGATGAAGTATCGGCGGAGCCTGCGGCGTAACACGCGTTCGGCCGAACGGTCTTGCGTGACGCCAGGGTAGCCATGGAAGTATCGCGGGCTGTCTTGTCCTTTCATTAGACTATCATCGGGCCCTCGGGGGAACTGCTTGGGAATCATGGGGTGAATTTGCGGGCATCTGGTCAATCTTGGGAGTCTAGGGATTCGGAAAGGTGAGAGCACTCATGTGTGCCAAAAAGCACAACGGGAATCGCGGCGGCGACACTGAGTGCGACGGCGCCGAGGGCGAGAGGGGAAGGGGGAGAGGAGGGAGAGGGATGTGGAACGGGCGAAGGAGGAGGAGGACCAAAACGAGGAAGAAAGAGAGAGAGAGAGAGAGAAGGGAGACCCCGGAGAGCGAGGGATGGGGGAGCTGGAAGCGAAGTCTTTGGCACGCAAGCGCAAGGCACAGGCATGAATGGAGAAGGGATCGAACTGACAGGAGGGGATTGGTGGGATTGTGGGGCACCAGTGACTTGGTGCAGCACGACTGGTATCTGCTCTCTTCGTCACGCCAGTCATCAATGCGATCTATCGTCAAACCTTGTTGAGAGATGACAGCATATGTGCGACGTTTATCATCAAGCTTCTCCATCTCGACAAGACAATCGCCGATTGTCGGCATAAATGTGACAAGTCTGGGAACAAAGTGATGTCGTATCAAATTCTTTTCTTGTCTCGTCCATTCATCCCTTTTATCAGAGAGGTTGGCAGCCACCGCAGAGTGCGGATTGTAAAGCGAGCGATCTTTGTTGGAAGCATCCTCCCTGTTTTCAGGTCTCTTGGAGGGCTCTGATTCGCTTTCACTGTCCGATATTCCAAACATGGTTTTCATCTCACGATCGGAGCTTCTTTTCGTTGTGTTTTCAATCGCTCTCGTTTTCTCGGAGCTTCTGCTGTAGCGCTCTTTGCCCATTCGAGGAGTGATGTTCTCTGCGACATCAGCTGAGCCGGCTACATTCTTCGTATTGAATAATCCCTCGGCTTGGCCGGGGGCAACCACAACGGGTTTACCTTTGTTGGGGCGCTTTTTCTTCTTGTGACTTTTTGCTAGGCGCGGCAGCTCCTCTCCGCAGGGCCGAACTAGGGCCCAGGCGGGGCTTCAGAACCCCCCCGGGTTTCAAGGGAAGTCCGTCAGAAAACATTGAGTCAAGATAATCTAGGTACCGCCTATCGGCCCAGAACCTAGGCGTCACTATGTTGACGAGGTATAGTGCTTTGACCCATGCCATGGGGTCAACGAATCTTTTTGCCCCAATATCAGCAGCTTCGTTTTATGTTCTCTCCTATTGTAATTGAACAAGGCCACGAGAAAATTGTTCGGACACAGCTGCTGCATCAATTCTATGCGTTCGTGGTAGGTGCATCAACTTCATTGACCCGCCTGCCTTAATGACTTTGCAAACTGCTTGGTTATCCTCCAAGAACAAACGTCGCACAGGTCTATCCAGCAGGATTTCCCAAAGCGGCAATGCCGCAAGCAGCTCCTTGCGTAGCGCAAGGTCGGCCGCAATGATTTCGGCCTCAAGGGTGCTATGAGAGACGCATGCGTGTTCGGATATCACTCGCCAGATCTGCATCATAGTATTGTTTTAACAGAAAATTATCCTTTTTATCACCCACCCACGAGGTCATACGATAATGGGATGTACTTTTTATGTGCAACAGTAGGCGGAAGAGCTCCATATCTTGTTGTTCTGTCCATTTTGTGATGCGACTGGCAGATTGACACGCGCCACGGAGTAAGTCGTATCATGCCATTCTAGCTCCGTAGAATATTTTCATTAACAATTTTGCTGCAATTGGCTGAAGCACTCCCGACTGAGTCGGTGGCTCAGGGTCATCAGGACTAGCTGCTGCGGCATCGAGGCCAATCACCTCTATGTCTTGATCAGGGGGGGCGGTGTCAACGTTGATCAGTAACGCCGATGCTATAGCCTCCTCAGCTGGGGGGTAAATCTCTCCTCTGGGGCCGCCCTGTCCGTCCTCTAGGTCAGTAAGTTCAGGACCGAACGGGGTGCCCGCGGCCGGATAAGTGGCCGGGTCTGCGTCCGTCAAGTGAGCATATAAGGTAACACAGGAAATCGAAAAACTCAGTCATATCGTATTCGAGTTTAGGGTCTCTCGGCTGGTATGGCTCGGTCATCTGAGATGCCGAGTCACCCCCCGTTTCCTCCTCGCTACTCTCGTCTGTGACGGAGGCGTTTTTCTTATCCTTTGGAGGAGACGGGTCGAGCACCGTAGGTAACTCTCCGTGCCACTCAATTGTCTGAGTTGGTAATGTATGCTCGCGTCCTAAGTATCGTCCAACAGCGGTTGGTGGATCTATTTCTATGCCCTTAGGGCAATTCTCCGAGGGTTCTTGAAACAATTTCCATCCCTGGGCAAGCTTGTCGGCAGGTCCCGGCAATTTTAAATCATCGACGTAAATGATCAAGACAATTTGCAATTCTTTGTGGAAGTAACAGCTGCGCCACGGACTACATTTCACAGAACCTTTCGCCGTGACGTGTCTCTCGCAATGCTGTTCCCAGTGCCCGCCCGAATCAGGGTGCCCGTACAGAGATAAGTACAGTGGACACACAGGGTTCCTCATGTTGGACCACGCTTTGGGCCATTCATCACGAGGCAAGAAAACCCAAGTGGGAGTTCCTCCCAACTTTGACTGTGTGTAGGCTTGTCGAGCGTCAGCTTGTTCGATGCTATGGCCTTCAAACAGCCCGTAAGTTTCGGCTGCGTTGCTGGCCTGCATTGTCGCGGGACTGCTGGAACGTTCCTGAAATAGTGCCACGTCTTTGTTTTGATCTCTAACACTTGAACCGTCAAAGACCACCCGACCATTGTACTTGCGGTCTTTGTGTCCCAGCGGTAACTCTGAGTTCTTTTCAACAGGGATCGCAAACAAGCGGCCGAAATGGGCAGTTTTCCCTTTTAGTTCAGCAACGACATCGGAATATTCCCTAACACTGTCTTCAATCCACGTGCCAATGTCTCGCAGTCTGTCCCATTCTTCTCTCAAGGCAGCATGAGGGTCTTTGTTTGCCTTTGCCTCGTCTTTTGAGACAGACCTGGCTACAGCGGCGTCTATGCGGGCGCATTGCCAGTCGTTGGGAAGTTGGAAATGCTCATCAATGACAGATATTATGTCTGTAAAAGGGTTATAAAAAGCATTGCAAATCGAATCTTTCTTTGTCGCGATGACTGATATCTGTGTCTGGGTTATCTCGTGACGGCATTCGAGGCACGCTTCGCCGCGACGCGGCGGCCGCCGGACTCGAGGTCAGGCTTGCCTCTGCGTTGTCCTCAGATCTGCCATTATCATCATCGGACAGAGGATCCCTGTCGGCTGAGCCGCAGGGTAGCCCGTCTCTTGCTATAGTGCCTCCATACCATGTTTGTTTCCACTAAATATTTCCGTCATCCGACAGGTGTCCGTCAGGAGCGTCTTCTTCTGATGAATCGTCAGTTTAAGATGTGGTTTGACAGCCCTGGGTGTTTCGCGACGCCGCCCCTCGCCCGCTGCCAGGGGTGTAGCACAGGCCGCCGTTCTCTATTTGACGTAGCTGCTCAGCCACCTTAGGTGCAGTCAGCCTGGCTTCGGGGAGAGCCGCGAGTGGCTGAGTCACTGCGGGATCGGGCGGAGTCGGTGGGTCTTCCACATCTAGACCAATACCACGCAGAAGATCTAGGCAAGGACCGGGATCCTCTATACCGAAGAGCCCTCTCTTTTCAGCCTTGTATTGTTCCACGGCCTGTCGACGCTGGGCTTGGGTCATATTGAACCATCGTCCAGGATGCACCCCGGGATTGGTGGACTCAGGTAACTTCTTTAACCGTTGGGCACTGTGCTCTGGGTCTGGGCCTGTGACCCACACTCGGGTTCTAGGCACATAATCAGGGCCATAATAAAGAAGAGCTCGTATGCTACATGTTTTTCGACGACCTGCCAACGGGAGTTTCTGCGTTAATTCTTCTTTTGTGAGTCCAGCAACAATCCGTCTGTCTTCGAAATATTCCATTGTATCCAGATTTTGAGTTGCTCGGGCAAGAAGTTGCCTTTTCCCTGGGACTCTCACGCGGCTTAGCCGCTGAGAAGTTGGACTGTCTGTCCAAACGATGCTCAAGTTGTGCGAGTCCTAGTTTTTGGTTTTGATCCGCAGGATGGGAGTCGCGCTGAGGATCCCTGCCGTCAACTACCAAAGGCACATCACCCACATACAACCCCCCAGGACCGTCGTCATCAAGATCGGCCTCGGAATCGATGCGCGGTGCGTCCTCGCCCTCCTGAGGAGGCGGTGGTGCCGGAATAGCAGGATCATCAGCATTAAACATGTTGTCTGGTCTTATCCCTGTGGCTGGTTGCGGTCCGTCTGAGACGGCCGCGCCTTCTCCTGTTTCTGCAGGGATTGTGACGGAACGTGCCTCCGTCGCCGCTTTCTCGTATGCTTGTCGCAAAGGAAACTGAGGCACTGATCGTCTGCAATGCCATCTAAGATGTTGCTGTACACTTGATCAGACTTCTCGATCGTGGGTCGTTTTCCTTCTGGGGTGCGTCCCGACTCCATATTCAGTCCGTCCAATTGTCTCAGAGGTATTACATAACTATCTGGTCCAACCAATCCCCCCGCTTTGTGCACATGCCCCAAGTATGTTCCTGGAATCATCGTTGCTCCAGTCTTGGCGGTGCGGAAACGGGACTCAGGCGGAGGCGCATAACGGATAAGTGATCCGAAGGGAAGAAGCGGAGCATTGAACTGACATCCAAAGCGTCATTCCCAGCTGGACTG